TCAATGAACTTATCTGGATAACCATGTTTACTAAGTAATTCTCTAATAATCTTAAGCTCCTCTCTTCGAGGGAGTCGTTTGAACAGATTACCTTAGCTGTATGAACCAGACGCTTTACGAGGTGACGTTTATATTTCAAGGTGCGAAACTCAAAAAATGAGTGCACTGACCTGTTGTTGTAGGTTTCCTCTACACACTCCTTCTCAAGGTGCTATCTTCTTTCCTTTCCAAGAAGACGTCTAGTAGTGAGATACTGTCATTACTTTCTTTCTCTATGGTGAAGTTTATTGCTGAATGCGCATCATTAAACTTGTTGGGGATGTGCATTGCTTCGTTCTCGTTTTTCATAACCACAAATGTGTCATCCATATATCGACAGTAGAAATCCAGTTCATTAATTACTCCTATCAGTGATCCATTCTCTTACTTAGCGAGGAAAAAATTCAGCTGGGATTGGACCTAATGGGGAATCCATAGCTACACCATCAGTTTGTCTATAATATTCCTTATTGAATAAGAAATGAACATTCATTGTACATCTCAAAATAAGTTCCTTCTTCATGGAGGATACAGAAACACGATGTCTGTGTTTCGCGTAGTAATCTCATCACATATAAAATCCACTGTCTCCACTAACGGTACACTGGTGAACAAGGAGGATACATCAAAAGATATCAGAAACTTGTCACTCACATTAAGATCTCTTATTTTTGCGACCGTCTGCCTTATGTTTTACCAATTCGTTATTCAGAGGCTTTATGGACTTCATCAATCATTTTATTATTGCGTGATATGGGGAATTAAACATGTCTAACGCTGGTCGAAATGGAAAACCAATTTTATGCACTCTTAGTGGCCCATATAATCTTGGTGTGACCGTACCACCACACCCGTAGGCTTGAGTAATCCATATAAATCTTCTGTGACACTATCTTGTTCTTTAAGTCTTTTAGCGACTCAAGTTTTTTTCACCATTTTCAGTTGGATCAGTGGAAGCCGACCCTGTATGTGTTCATAACAAATTTGTACAGCCACTTTCTTTACCTTGGCCATAGTTACCTGAATTTATAAACTGGACTACTTTTCCCTCGTCCCCTCCCCCACCTTAAAATAATATTTGTTTATTATTCCTTATGACTCCAAATGAAACATAGGGCTTCAACAACACATCTCCACTTCCTTCTATTGCCTGCTGTCCTCTTCAGCTTAATGACCTCTCGATTGCCCAAAATCTCTCATCTCCTCCTATCTCCGACGCACATCATCTCCTCTGTGTCCCCGTTGCACCAGCGACCCACTGGTCGTTTCCTATTCACTTTCCAATCGAGTGATGGCCTGCATCATTCGACATCCTCAGCCCTTCTCAGGTAATACCAAATCCATCTCCATTTTCTAACACATATTTGTTGAGTAATCAGCTCTTGTTTGGTTTGTTCCCAGCCAGAGTTTCTTGTCGCTAATTCTTTCTTTCGCCATCCCCCTGAACCTTTTAAAAATTATAACTGTCCAAAAGTTTTTCCGTAGACTATACTAGTGTTTAGCATTGTTATTTCTTAATATATGTGTAAAATCCGAGCACTGTGGTAGTATGTAATTCCATATTAATTTGTTTATGAGATATATCACACACACAGAGTGAAACAGTATTATTGTTTCCTGGATGACGAAGTTCCCAACACAATTCAATTATAACAACACAACTTTATTCCTGCCTGTTCTTCATCGAGTGAGGGAGGTAGTAGAAGCCTCCAAATGCCTATTGCACGTATTCCCTCTCAGTTGATTTGATAAATAAAGGCTCAGCAGGTTATCGAGCTATCTCTCCCTCCCTACCTCCTCCCAGTCACATTACATTTTAAAACCCCCCATCTTATCCCACCATCCTATATATTGTATGATTGTGTGTAATTGCATGTACTGAGTGGTATAGCTGAATTATTCTCCACATTACTTATCATATCTTCGGGTCAACTAATCTAGGTATCTGGACTGCTCCACAAGTCTGACTGACTGACTCACCCCGTTCTACTACTTTCACCTATGCATTATTTCACCTGACACACAATCTTTCCAGCAGGTTATTAGATAAACTGAATTGCTGTATTTAATTGGCTCCATAGGCAGGATCCTCCACCTGACAAAGCTTATTTCTAATTCACTTTGTGAATGGTTTGAATACCAGGCACTTTCATTCATTGTTAAGAATTCTCCGCTGTAATATTTTCGAGGTTCCTTCTTTGCATGGAAGCACGTACTACTGATGGTTTATATTCCCTATTGTTAGTGTTGTCATTATTCTATGCATGTTTGACATGCATCTCGTCATTAATATTATTATTACTATTATTACTTTCACTATCATTACCGTGATTATTAATTTTATTTTTACATTTTCCAACATACCTACCGATTAATTTATCGGTGTAAGTATTAATTAAGTTTCAAGGCTTCTCTTAAAGGCCTCCCTTGCCGCCTTAGATTTTCCTTCGTACTACTCAGTTTTTGTACCTTATTGTCACTTAAACATTTCACCAATCCTAATTTTACTGACATATGGTGAGATGATCGGAAATCCGAATATCGATTTGAGTGTATGGGTCTTCTGTAAACACTTCTCATCTTCTTTCCTTTTCACTTTACAAGCTAACATTGGAAACTCCCCTTCTCGATTTTCCAATTCATGAATGAATTTAGTTTCGTTTATTTTCGAATTGATATGTTCAGAAAATCTATTTATGCCCTGTGTTCTAAGTATATTGAATGTGTCATCAACACACCTTCATCATACCTTTTGGGTGGCGCTGAACGTTTCGACTACTAAAGTTTCCCACCTCTTGTCATTTCTTCTCTTTGTGTGTATCAACTTTCGAGGTAATCATATGAGATAGGTTTATTTTAAATGTCACACACAGTAATGATGGAGTATTAACAACTGGATGACAGACAAGGTTTCGAGCATAAATTATTGCCACTCATAATCACATCAATCAGTTTAGTCAGACGTTTTCACAATTTGTCTTATACGTGTATATTTCCTCTCTTGTCTGTCTCTCCAACTTCCCCTCCCTTGTTGTTTGTTGCCACAGTCCATATCTCCGGTATAGGCGGCATTGCATCATTCCGATTGCTGCACGTGTGCGGTGGTGAATCGATAAACGAAGCTTCAGTGAATAAACTCGCGTCCCAGTGGCTTAGTGGTCTACGAGCTCGCTGGCCTTGTCACCAGAAGGTTCTGGGTTCGAACCCTGGCGGTGAGTGCGTACTGCTGAAGCAGGGTCCCAAATTAGGACGGGGGAAACAGCTGTCCAGTACTCCCTGTGGCCGGTTTTCCAATGGCTCTCTAACCAATGTCAGCGCATGATGAAATCCTGTAACCAATCAACTCTGTATCTCTCGCTCCACCTAACTAATTAACTATATCACCTTTTAATATTCTCATCCTATTCCACCCACCCTACTTTTTGTGATTCCATGTAAGGTTGCTTGACTTAACCGGGTCAATCACATTCTAGGTCTAGATAAATTTGTATGTATTCCAGTAATCTAATCGACGCTGATCTACTAGTTTGACTGTCCTATATTATAGCTGACCTCACAGTTAGCAAGCACTACATGGTATTTGATACAGTTTTATCAATTTTTCTTAATTGGATCTATTTGGATGTTTGAGTCGACAGACAAAGTTTATCTCTGCGACAGTTGGCTGGTTGGTTCAAATGTCGACTGAGTTTTAGAAAATAATTCCATTATGGGTAATTTTATTTTAAAAAGTCTCACAGTGTTATACAGTAATGTTTAGTGATGACGTTTCGAGCACAATTTATTGCTCATAATCATATCAAGGTAATCACACGACTTCCTAAATTCATTTGTATAGTTCCATTGTTTTTCACTTGATTTTCACTTGATTTGATTGGTAGTATTATTTTCCATATCTCGGGTATGAGTGATGATTCATTCCTATTGCATGTGTTGTGTTAGGTGTAGATTCGATGAACAAAGATTCAGTAATCAACCTCTCTCTCCACCTACCTAGATTACTTTTTAGAATTTTAACCCTCTCCCACCATCTCATTGTGCGGTTGTGTGTTAATGCTTACAGTGCAACTGCTGAGCTACCTTTCTAAATTACTCATCTTCTCAGAGTCAACCATTCTTACCTTAGCTAAATTCTTATGTTCTGACAATCTGACTACCCTTGACCTACTAGTTTGACTTATGTAGTTGACCTCACTCATAGTCATTGCAAGGTAATTTGTAAATTATATTATTTTGTCTAATTGGGTCCACTGGGTCCTTCAACCTACAGAGCTTGTCCCTGTGTGAGTTTGTAGGTTTAAATGCCACCCTAATTCCTGCTTTATTTAGAATCCTACGTAGGGTCTCAGATGTCCCCTCCCTATATGGTATAACTGTAGATGACTTATATTCTCTCTTGTTTATATTATTATTACTTGTTTCACAATTCTTTTTATTTTTCTTTTGGCTTTTTTCAATCTTCCTAATGAATTTTAAAGGATAGTTATTTAACACCAACGCCTCTTCTATCTGTTTTATTTCATCATTCAGGTCATTTTTGTGCTACTTAGTGCCACTGCTCGGTTTGCTAAACACTTAACTAAGCCTGCCTTCACAGACAGTTAACGGATGAGATGAATTAAAGTCTAAATATCTATTAGCAGAATGCGTTGGCTCTCTATAAACACTAGTGTGCAGTGGTTTACCTTTTTCTATTCGTTTCATTTTACAATCTAACATCACAGCTAATTCTACTTGCTCATTTTCAGTTTCAAATGTGTCAACGTCAAAGAACTTGTCTTGTATTTTATTAATATTATCATTATCAATATTATTATTATTATTACTATCATTTTATAGAAATTTTTTAAAAATTCTGTTGCAATCAACACGAAAGATGAAAAAGTCAGAGTGAGAACCATGGTGACATTTAACAAACAAAACTGAAAATGTCAATATATATATATAAGACTTGAAACAGGAAATGTTAAAATGGTATGTAGTACTTGGACATTTAAGATGAGAAGGTTTTGCTTTTTTTTAAAAAAACAAAAACAAAACATCAATGTGTTGATTAGTAATCAAGTAATCCACACACACACACGCAACACAAACAACAACACTGCACAGCTCACTTGATCTGTACGCTGGCTGAATCACAGTGTGTTATTCAAGTAAAATCAAAGTATTCATATCTTTCATATGCCAGTGTTTCTTCACGATTATCTTTTATGTTTATATCGCCTAGACTCTGTAATTCACCGCGTTCTTTAATCTGGATAAACCAGTCAACTAAATTCACGCCTAATTTATTCACAAATATGCTGTCTTCTTTAAGCATTTTCAAGGCCTCTTGTAGAGTAGCAGGAAGTGATTTCACATCCTTTTCAGTATAACCACCTTGGCCAGGTCTTACACCTGTTGGTGGCGGTTGTAATTTTCTTTCTAAACCGTCTAATCCAGCGGCCAGTGTAGCAGCCATTATAAGATAAGAACAGCCAGCAGACGATGGGACACGATTCTCTATAAATGTGCGTTTCTCATCAATACTCTTTACACGTATGGACATATATCTGTCGTAGAAATCCCAGTTGACATGTGAAGGAGCTAAATGCCTATGAAGTCTTCTGTAACAGTTGACAGTTGGACAGGAAATTGCAGTCAACGCCGGTAAATGCTCTAAGAGACCTGCAAGCCAATGACGAGCCAGCACGGATAGTTTATCAGGATCTGAGATAGAAAAAAAAAGTAGAGTAATGTAGGAATTTATTGATTGATTATAAAGTGATTACAGTTGCAACATGATTGAAAACCACAGAGTGCTGGACAGTTGTTTTATGTCACTGCAGAACTCTTAATCAGAACGCATCTATGATCTTCCCGCTAAGCCTCTTAGTGTAGTCATGGGTGCGTAGTGCTAAAAAGTCCTGAACAAGAAAAAATACAGCTGTCCGGTACTCCCTTTTTTCATTTATTTACGTTCCCTGTGGAACATACAGGGCTTCAAGCTAGTGGCTTGAAGTTTCTGCAGCAGTGGTGATTATTTTTTACAGGATGGGGTTGCTAGCCTCATGTCCAACCTTTCCTCTTTACCAGTTTTATTAACTACTGGCTTAGCAAGGTAAAGGAGTGAGTCGGTGGCCGGGGATCAAACCCCGGACCGACTGCGTGGTTGGTAAGCAGTCTACCGCTGTACCACCGGGACTCCCTAGACCTCATTAACTTTTCAACTAATATTTGTTCATAATTTAACTTGAAAATAATCGAATCCTTTAATGCTGACATTCGGAAATTTACTAGACTGTCTGCCAGAAAACTTCAGAATACGTTGGATTCTCTCTGTGGAAATGTGCTTTGTTGTAAGTACTTTTCACGAAAATTATCCACAATCCTACATTTTATTTCCAGAAATAGATCACAAACATCTACATGAAAAGTGATGCTGTTTTCATGTAGCCTCGTTGAATTATGTCTATATCTATACGCTGTCAAGATGTCTATTCTATAGACGGAAAGTATTGCTAACTATTGTCACCAATTCACAAGCGTTATTGTCTCTGAGCCAAAGAATCCTCAGAATTTGCAGCTCTACCACTGTGGAAGAGGAAATAAACACTCTGTAAAGAATCGTCCTGGAAACTGGCTACCCAGAACGTTTCATCACGAAACTTAAACTACTTAAACTGCCGACACTTTCTCCCCCCCCCAAAAAAAACGTCTCTACTTGAATATTCAACTCAGCGGAGACACAGCAGTAGAAATTTTGATAAACCGCCTGTCCTGCTCACTGAAGTAAACTTTCTTCACGGCTGAACTTCGAATAAATTTCTCTAAGAAACCAGTGATTCACAGTAACGTGAAGAATAAGCTAACACTGTTGGCTGGCCTCATCAGTGTGCTCTACCTGTGGAGCTGGGTATGTTGGCCGTACTCAGCGTTTGCTATCCAAACGTACCATTGATCAATTACCTAGAGTCATGGTTTTATAAAGGGGAAAAAAGATCCCATACACCTCCGTAGCTCGATGCTGGAACAGCTGATCGAATCTGGACATCAAGCCAACCCACCCACAAGTTATCTAAGGGATATATAGGAGTTTCGCTAAAACACTACAAATCAAACTTCTTAAAACCCCACAGAAGTAATGACGATTCATCACATGTTAAAACCTGAAATGTACATGCCGAAGAACAAGTATGTTTGTGGTGAGAACTGTCTGCAAGACAAAGCTGTAAACAACAATTGACGTCGATGTTTACGTCCCAAATCGGGGTCATGAGAAAAAACACAATAACAAAGCTTAACCTTGAGGAACTCAACAACCAGTCACAGCAGACTTAACGTGTGCAAATGCGATTCGCAGATATTTGGCTTGAGTTTCTAAGAAACGTCCACAAAGAGACAACAGAATAACCTTCAACAGGAAAACGGCCAGTCAGAGGACGTTGCTTCTCTGCTAACAATAACGAATAATAGTGCACATAAAAGTCTATAAATATCTGTTGACTTTCTCAATAAACGATCTGTTGCCTGGCCATTGTCTTCTGTTGTTACATGTTCAGTCATTAAATCTACAATGGTCCTGATCTGTCTTAACACCCAATACGTAATTTTAGTGTCATTACTGTACTGTATTATTTTCTCTCCTCACTCCCTATTAAATTTACACCCCTTATTACCACTGTTGCAAACTTGACTCTCCTTCAAATTTCAGTAGAATTCTACTCAACTCCATCATTTAATATGTACGTATATACGTATATATATGCGCTAAAATTAAGGCAGAGAATAAAAGAAGTAAACCGCGAAGAAAAAATTTCCTTTCGACGATTCCTTTTCATAAGCTGTATAAACATAATTCATTTTTGATGTAGTTGTGTTTTTTGAGCTGCATGGTTTATTTCCGAAGCCATTTCATTTGCCATACTAGACAACATCTTTAACACATACTTCAATTTTTTGAATTGAAGTGAGTTTCTGGATTTCTCCACGAGTTTATTATTTATCTCTCCTGATGGGTCACCTTGAAAGAGACACTTTGATTCCACTTGTCTATCTTCACACTCTCTAATTAGTCTACTTGTCTCGGTATTGATTCTTTCCTTGATCTGGAGTGTGACATTTTGTGCGCGAGATTTCTCTCTCATGGTGTGGATTGGTAAATTTTATCTATATCAATGTGCCTGTTAATTGCCAATTCTCAGTGGAATACGAGGCAATCTTCCAAGAATTCTTCAGTGTTCTTGGTGTTTCCTCTGCCTAATATTTCAATATTGTATCAGTCGAATTGACCTCCGTGTTTGTCTGCATGCAGTGAGGCGATATGAGTGAGTGAGTGGATATCATGTCTTTTGACAGCTAGTTTGTGTCCATGGATACGAAGACGAGGGGAGGGGCGTCAACACTCTGGCCAGTGTAGTGTTTTCCGCAGTCATTGCAATTTATTTTGTAGATGATGTTGGTTTTATCTTCTTCCTGTGTTGATTCTGTCTTTTGGATGAAAGAGCAGCTGAGTGAAGTGATTTTGTTGGTTTATGTGCGACATCAATTCGTGAGGGTTTGAAGAGTGTTGCGGTGATTTTTTAGACGTCTTCTAAATATGGTAGGGCGATTTACTTTGTGTTTTTCTTGGGGGTCTTTGATTCGGTTGGCTGCCTCGCTTCGGGGTAGATGTCTTTCGATGGAGTTCCGTGGATATCTATTCTTTTGGAAGACGTCCATGGGAGTGCCGCAATCATTCCTGGCTGGCTGTCTTGAATAGTGTTTGTATACAACTCCTTTTGTGCATTTTTGAGTTGTTGTTGTTGTAATTGAGTACTTGGTCTGTGTGATTTGATTTTCTATAAACTTTAGTTTCTAATTTTCCTGTGATTGTTCGCTTGACTAAGACGCCCAGAAATGGGATTCTGTCGACGGATTCCTCTTCTCTTGTGAATTTGATGTCGCTGAAGACGTCGTTCATTAGGTTGTGAGCCTTGTCCTACTCTTTTCTTTTTACTGCAGCCAACCAATCACGTTCAAGGTTACCCATCAGGAGCGATGACTAATAAACTCGTGGAGAAATTTAAAACCCCACATCAATTAAAACTGAAGCATGCACCTAGGATGTTGCCTAGTAGGGCAGATGAAAGCTTCGCAAATAAACCATTCAGCTCAGAGAAGACAACTACATCAAAATCCTCCAGTTGGGCTATAAATCTCCATTATTTAGCTGGAGGATTTCATCATGAACTGATATCAGTTAGAGAACCGTTGGAAAACCTGGGTGCATTCTTCAGAAAAGTCACAAACTAGGGCGAAACAGCTATCCAGTACTCCTTGCAGGTTTTCCAAGGGTTCTCTAACTGACATCAGCTCATGATAAATGAAATCCTCCAACCAACCAAAACTGGAATCCCGATAAAACGAATACTTGAAAATCTCTATTATATTTAACAAATGTGTGTGCGTCGGTGGTATAGCGGTTAGGACGCTTGGCGACCATGTATATGATCCAGGGTTCGATACCCGGGCGACGCACTCCTTTACCTTGCTAAGCCAGTAATAAAGCTGGTAAAGAGGAAAGGTTGGGCATGAGGCTAGCAACCCCATCCTGTAAAAAATAATCACCACTGCTGCAGAAACTACAAGCCACTAGCTTGAAGGCACCCTATGTTCCACAGGGAACGTCAAGGAAAAAAAAGTTAGAATTCAAGGACCATTGGATCGGGTCCCAGTGGCTCAATGGTCTACGAGCTCGCCTTGCAACCAGAAGGCCCTGGGTTCGAATCCCGGTGGTCGCGTACTGATGAAGAGTCCCAAACTAGGACGAAAGAGCTGCCCAGTACTCCCAGGTTTTCCAGTGGCTCTCTAACTGATGTCAGCTCATGATGAAATCCTCCATGTAATCAAAAATATATATTTAACAAATCATTCATAAGACGACCAATCAGATACTGATAAAATTTTTTCTCGAAAACGTATTACGTAGACAGGGTGACTAACTGGGAATTAGAAAACAGGGAGCAGAATTGAGATGATGTAATAAGTGTGAGGAAATGACTAAGCAATATGATTGTGTGGAGTGGACAAGAACTAGTGGAAAGACAGGGGTGGCCAGAGTAACGTTCCCACCATAATTTTGCTTCCTTTAATTATTCTCATCATCCTTATTTTATTGTAACTCTACTGCTCTTCACTAATAACATTGCGTTTTCATACAGATTTTATAAAAACAGTTTATTGTGTTTCCACTAGTTCTTGTCCACTCTACACACTTATTTTGATGAGTCATTTTCTCCCGATTATTAAGTCATGCCAACTAATACCGCTTTTCTAATTTCCAATTAATCACTCGTTCTGGACTACACCCTACATTATCTGTCTAACTGTGTCTACAAAATGGAATGCTTGCAATGTAATGTGACATACATCGGATAAATATCGCGAGAAATCAAAATCAGAAGAAATAAACACCGTAGAGCATCTGTTCGACCACCGTTCATCAACCGTAGGTCGTCTACACAACACGCTACGCTATAGAATCAATCAGGTCACAAAATTGATTTTGACGTTGTTGAAATCATCAACCAGAAATAGTTTCAGAAATCACAAAGAGCGTCTAATATCACGAGAAGCACTTCATATCAAATGGAATCCAAATTGTCTGAACTGAATAGGAATTATGGACTAAAAGACAAATTGACCTGGTTACACCACAACACCTCCAGTTACTCGCATAAAATGACAAAATCAACACGAATGTGATATGCAAGTTCACTATGTAAGCACACACTGCCTTTATAATTTTACACACTGATCAAATCCAACAATCTACACGTGGTTTTGTTATCTTCACCAACTGGCTATCTCAACAACGAAAAATGCCCACAGACTAACGAACGATGATCAAGTTAGTAAACTTTATTTCGATTCCATAACAGATGTACTATTACTTGTGTTATTTGGTTTAGTGATCTTCATTGTTATTTTGACTTTCAATATGTCCTCCTTTTAACTTGACCTAACTTGTCTATTTTCCCACCCACCTCTTAACTCTTTGTTATATATATGCTGAGATTTTGTAAATTCCGGTTTAATAATACTACTTTGATAAAGCTATTAGCAGCATTAAATAGCGAATCGTCGTCAGTAGAAACAACAACATCGTTTTGTTTTTCATTCAATGGGAAATGCAAAAAACAAAACTTTTATAATAATGTACACCCTAATCAGCACCAACCGACTGACTTCAGTTTACACCCCACATTACGTAATACGCTTTCCAAGGATAAATTTCACCAGTAGTATCTGATCTGTGGTCTTATAAATTCTCTGTTAAACGTAATACAATTACGATTATTGTACAACTGCTTGTGAACGAGAATGAATCGTCGAAAAGAAAAGAAGGGAAAGTTTTCTTCGCTGTTTTACAATTTCCTGTTCTTATAACTCAGGACTTCAATAATAAATAGCACAAAAAAGGGAAATATGACTTACCTTTACTGTCGAAAAATGCATTCCGATGGGTATCAGCATACCACAAGGAGTGATTATAATGACAGCCACTAGCACTGCTGTTCAACAAAGGCATAGTCATAAATGAAACTGCCATATCATGCTTTGAGCCGATTTCTTTCGCGGCTTGCTTAAATATGAAATAATTATCAGCGGCTGATAATCCCCAGGTCGGCATTAATGGAGCTTCTAACAGTGCTTCACCGTCTTCATTACTATAATCTTGTATATCGATTCTAGCCAGCTGCATATTATAGTCAACATCAGCAAAATAATCCTCGTAGAGAGCCAGTAGACTTGTTGGATACATGTTAATCGGTGTAGTGTACGGTACAGGCGGTTTAATTACATGCTGTGCAACATTTTGTGATTTTGGCTTTAAAAAGGAGGCTTCAACAGATTCTTTCGTAAAAGCTCGAAATTCTGGTTCAAAAGCTGAATATAGGCGTAAGTTATATTTGTCTTCAAGTTCTTTGACTAGTCTATCAGCAACAGTTCTTGGATAAGCCATCATTGGTTGATTATCCGGCCAGACTAAATCGCATATAACAGAACAAACACTATAGCTGTGTTTATTTTCCTCTCTACTTGAATTGCACTTGATGCCTGTTTGTGTCTGAAGAATTCTACTCTGTGCACCCCAATTACACGGGTGGAAAGTTGAAAAATCCGGTTTTAGGTAATTATTTAAATGTTTCCTTTGCAGTATTTCAGGGATGTTAATCATCTACAATTGAAAATATCTCATCACACTAATGTGAAACCGAAAATTTTTAAAAATATATATATTATAGACAGTATAAGATAATAATATTACAATATTATTAATCAAGTGGACCACAAGGGAAAAACAGGAAAAAAAATTGAAAAATCTTAGCTGCCTATCGACTATAGACATATTCCATATCGGAAGGATGTATACAGGTGAACAACTTCAAAGACCACTTACTCCATATGATATTATAGTGTACTTCAATATCAAAGATATGGTTCCCAAAATGTCACAAAGTAATTGTGTCTGTAGGATAAAGTGTTCAGAGTGCGAAGCTTGCTATATATATGGGGAGAGCAGTAGGCAGGTGAAAGTCACAGCGAATGAACACTGACCATGCACGAAACGCTCACCTAGAAATGAAGTAGAATTAAAAAGTCCAGAGAAAAGATCGCCTATAGCAATGAATGCGATTGACAGGAGACATAAGATTGATTTCGACAATGTCGAAATTCTAGGAAGAGGATTTCATTCAACACATGAAGAAAGGTTGACCTCTGAAGTCTTGTATATATTTTGGAAAACCTGGGAGTACTGGAAAGCTCACTCGACAGACCAACAGACGGGTTTGGACGGGGCGATGTTAGCTGACTGACATAGGATGGATCTATGGGGTTGGAGAGGAGTTAGCTAGTGGTGGTGGTGGTTTTGGTAGTCAAACGAAAACATGGCTTCATGATCAGTCAATGAAATCCATGAGGGTTAGTCTAAGCTCGTTAGCCAGCCAGGCAGTCAGCCACGTAGGGAGGTGTAGACTGCCTGGCTGTGGTCATCAGGATATTAGGAACCAGCGAAGGTTGGAGATAATTGATGATATGGCTGGCTGGTGCAGATTCATTCACTCTTTGTCATTTATCATATCCATTAAAAAAATCTACTGTTCTTCCATATTGTTCCTATTCTTTTTCCCTCACTGACACTTCTGTTTATTATCTCTGTCTCTCTGTTTTGAATCTCTCTTCATTGTCTTCTGTTGCTTTGTGTGGTATATGAGGGAGTGTGGCAACTGGAACTGGTGGACATCTGTGCAAATGTCTACGCCGAAACCACTCAGTCAGTCAAGTGGCATTCTAGGTATATAATCCATATAATATTCGTTATTTTACTCGCTCTAATGAGCAATTTAAACTAGATAAGGTGTATGAAATAGGAAGGGAAAATTTCTCTAATGCACACACAACCGTCATCACGACTACATGGTTTATTCATATAACCAGTTCAGTAAACCACTTGAGGTCAAGGGCTACTTGTAATTCGTTTTATGCATAAATGTGTTGATAAAGTTGCAGAAAAGACGAACGTTGAAATTCAATTATATGAAAGTATAAAAATAAAGAATAAGACAAGCTTAAGACAAGTGCAACACAAATCAGAATAGGAATACTATGCACAAACTACATTTTGAATGTGTTTATTTTTATTTAGAATTCCATTGCGTTCCAGGTGGAACATAGAGACTGCTTCTATTCAGATGGCTGACCCCACTATATTCCCCATAATCTCTCATCTCCTCCTGCATCCAACTCACACCGTCTCCTCCATGTTACCGTAGCACCAAGCAAACACTCGTCGTTTTCCATTAGGATTCCACTCGAGCAATGACCTGCATTGCGCACCATGTCATTCGACGACCTCCTTCCTCAACGTGTGACCAATCTACCCATCTCTATTGTTTCCAAACATACTTGTTGAGTATTCGGCTCTTCGCTGCCAGAGTTTCACACTGCTGATTCTTCCCGGCTGGCAGGTCGGCTGGCCATTTGATCTTTAGTACTGAGCCAGCCAGCCAGTGAAGTTAGCAGCTGTTCATAAAAGTCTACAGTGGCCTGTCGCAAAGGCTTTTCGTGACTCACACGCAGTGCAAGCTTCTCACTCATACAGAAGAACTCACTGACTGACTGACTGAATGACTTCACTTATATTTCTGTTAAAAATCCGAATCATATCATATCAACTTGACATGATTATGAGCAATAGTTTACGCTCGAAACGTCATCAGTTAATATTACTGTACAACACTGTGTGATTTATCAACATAAAATCGTATCTATAATGGAGTTATGCTCTACCACAGTGCCCAAGTTTTATACTTATATCAAAAATCTGAATCTCCTTCTGTATGCTATTGAGTTATTGCAGAAGATTTCCAAACTGGTCTCAGATCGACAAATGGTGTACCTCGCCTTTCCCATTCTGGCTGGCTGGTGATTTTCACATCTTGATCCTTTCCGACGACTGCATGTGGTTGAAACGATACTGCAGCCTAAGCTAGAAAAGACAAGCGAAGGAAGGAAGTGACCTATCTCAACCTCCTTCTCTCGTTCACGGTGATTGGTGCTGCTTGTTGTTTTCGCTGTTGCTGTTGTGGTGGTGGTGGTTGGTTGTTGGTTGGTTATCTTCATCTCCTCCATCTCCACCTTCTCTATGTTCATCACCTGGATGGAGTCAGTCCTGTCTTCGCTGCCTTCCAGCCAGCCAACCAACCTCTTCAGCCAGTTGGTTGCCAGTTTTCACCAGCCTGCCTGAAACTCTTCTGGTTTGTGTGGCATTTAACGGCATAAATAATCCACACGTGAGTGCAACGTATTCCTGTCTTCTCACACACAATCACTCACCGCCAACGCACAGTCTGACGAATAATCCATTCCAGTCCACCACAATTTCGAATATCACCTTCGGTGATAATATGCAGCCAGCCAGCCAACCAGTCACCCAGCTTGTCTTACTCCAGCATTCACTCACTTCGAAGGCAGGCTTCACTGAGTTTTGAATTGTGGATCACCTAACATGTGCCATTGTCATATAGACAACTCCTGCGTGAGGTTGATAAAGACTTGGGGACAACAAGTTGTAGTGTTGAGGTAGTTTCCAAATTACTTCTCGGTCAACGCTGTCTGTTAAAGGCCTTTTCGAAGTCGATGTGAGAAGTTCTGTGATGATGATGATAATGATGCGTAGAGTTGTCATTTGATGATCACATGATTTGCCTTTCATGAATCCAGCCAGCTTGTTCGTGTGGGGCAGGTGGAGTTCTGCATCCAGTGCACCTCTCTCTCTCCAGTATGACGCGGCTTAGTATTTTATTTGGCGTAGGTGGACAACAGCATGATTCCACGCCAGTTCTTGCAGAGTGAGGCGTAACTCGCCCTTCTGTGGTAACTTGACTAGGTAGGTAGCCAGCCAGCCAGCCTTTCTTCTAATGGACAGACAACTTCCTTTTCTTCCTTCCAAACCCTTTGCAATAATGGCGTCAGCATATCTATCTCAATCTCAGTGCTGTTTTCAGTGCTTCGGAAGAATGCTGTCTGTTCCTGACTGGACTTCAGTAGCCTGATCACATTCAAGATATCTGCTTTCGTTGGAGGATTGATGTCCACTGGCAGGCAGTTCTGGGCGTGCTGTTGGTGGTAGAGGTATTTCTGGACAGGTTGCAGGTGATAGTCAATTCAACACTGCTTTGAAGTGATCAGCTATTTGTTTTATTTTGTTATATTCCGAATGTCAGATAGCTATATTCAATCTGCACCCGTAACCTTTGTTCTCTGGACTTCACTATTAGTGCAATCAATTTAATTGTCTTATTAATTCTTACTTCTGTTAATTCACGATATATGTATATGGTGTGACAGCCAGTCAATTTCATCAGACTGTACGTGTCCACACATCGGACTTGATAGGCTCTACTGGTCACAGTTTCTCACTAGAAATCGGTTAGGGTTGTCCCAGTGACTTGCTGATTTGTCAGTAAGCGATCATCTTGTATTCTAGGTTCGATTCCCTTTGGGACCATGAGATACTTCTTACCGAAGAGTCTGAAACTAGGGCAAAGCAGCTGTTGAACACTGTAACTTCCTTCATAAACCAGCTGAGTCTTTGAAAGTCAACACTTGCTAATCAAAGTTGGGTAGAAATTTTTGTAGTTTATAACAATCTACCTTATTCCAGAAATATAACACTTCACATGTTCTGTGTGCATTTGCAACCTGGTGGTAGGGCACCCACACAAAACACTGAATGGATGGTCAGAGTAAGTGAATTTTTTGAAGTGTAAGCAAAATACTTCAAGAATTTTCAACGCTGAAAAGTTAATCATGTCAGACACATCTTGTTTAGCTTTATCTTAGTCTAAAGCAAACAAAAATGTATTACTAGATTAATAATAAAAACAATGCGTTACAGCATTTCATTATGAGCTGACAGCAGTCAGAGAATCATTGGAACCTGGGACTACTGGACAGCTGCTTCGTCCTGCTTTGCGACTACTCCTCATCAGGGGGTTTGAACCCCCGGCCTTCTGGTTACAAGGAGAGTTTGTAGACCATTGGGCCACTGGATCGGGTCCCAGTGGCTTAAAGGGTCTTTTGATGAAATCCTGTAACCACTCAACTAAATCTCTGCAAGCTAAAACTTGAATAAATAATTTACTGAATCTTAATACATAATAAAAAACTTGGAGGATCTGGACTTCGCCGATGTGATATATGTCTGATTTCCCACAAACTGGAAGATATGCAAACGAAAAGCAACAAGTTGTCGATAGTAGAAGCATTAAAGATAGGACTTTAGGTGAACATAGAGAAAACAGAGGTAATGAAGATTCCTGGGAAACAACACCATTAACAACAACAGACAACGATCGGCATAAATGGGAGGAACCTGAAGGAAACAACCTCCTTTACCTACCTACCTGGGAAGCATCGTTTCAACTACAGGCCGACGGAACTGACGAGGATATCAAAGCAAGAATCGGAAAAGCAAGACAATCTTTCACTACTCTCAAGTCTGTGTGGAGATCGACAGCACCACTCAGCATGAAAATGGAAATAAAATCCGGATTTTCAACTCCAATGTGAAGTCAGTCAGTGCAACTACATACGGATCAGAGACTTGCGGCGTCATAAAGAGCATCTCAAACAAACTACAGAGCTTCATTAACAGTTGTCTTCGCTCAATACTCAAGATCAGATGGCCGGCCAGAAAAGATCAGCAACAGAGATCTCTGGCAATGAGCGAACCAACCAGGAACCGATTATGAAACAAATAGGCAGGAAGAAATGGAGATGGATTGGCTGGCCATACTCTGAGGAAACAAACCATCAAGTGACATCACTAGACAAGCCATTGCTCGAGTGGAGCCCGAAAGGGAAGCGGCGAGTTGATCGTCAGTGCGAGGGTGACTTGGAGGAGGTCATGTGAAGAGGAGATGAAAACGTGTGGGCAGACTTGGAACCAGGTGAAAACTTTAGCAGAGAACCGAACGCAATGGAGACGCACGGCTGAAGCCCTATGTTCCTCTAAGAATTAAAGGAAATAATAATGTATATATATATATATATATAAAATTTGGTTTTACTTCAAATCTCGGTCCAAAAGTTATTGAGCCTGAATATAATTCACAATCGCCTGATGCAATTTTACCAGCCAAACGTTTAGGTACCAGTTTACTGAGATGCAATCCATTTAAATCAGGGACACAGACTCTTATGAAATCGTGTTGCTCCACATTTTTCAGAAAACATTTCGCTTCTTCGGATAATTGTTTTTTACCATCTGCAGCCATCTTGAAGTGATTAGCCTGCCAATTTACTAAATAGGTGAAGGAAACAAAACAGTAAAGTATTTTAATTAATAAACTAACTTTTGCATGATTTTCAAAAGTACTTAGATTGAAAGACATGCAATCGATTAACTAGATGGAAGAGAGGTCAGTACCGGCTGGTTAATTCTCATCTTCTTAGGACTCCTGGACTAATGACAAAAAAGGTTGTTAAATCTACACAATCAATAATGATTGATAAAAGAATATTATTATGTCCCATGAGAAATCGTTCAAACTCTAGACTAACTAACTAACTAATTCATATGAGATGAAAAAGAAACTAAATGACATTCAAGCAGAGAATAATGAAAGAAATGGTTAGTTTTGATATAACTAGTCTTTATACTAATATACCAATCAATATGGCAGCCTTAGAAGCAGTCAAAAGAGAACTAACTGCAGATCCTGAACTCTTATCATAGGACGAAGCTGCCCATTGAAGGAATTATTTTAGGAATTCAGTTATGCTCCCTCACATCTACTATCTTTAAATTCCAAGGCAAAATATATAGACAAACAGAAGGTGTAGCAATGGGATGCATCACCAATATCCCTTATCATAGCAGATATATTTTTGGACAGTTGGGAAAATATGGCTCTTAATACATTCACCTAATCCTACTCCAAAAATATGGTGGAGATATGTGGATGACACTTTCACACACAGTGTTAAAAACACAACATATCTCCCTCTAGCTTCTTGACACATATAAACTCACTAGTAGAGGGAATAAAATTCACATTTGAATCGCAAAATAAACAAGGAGAATTAGCTGTGATGTTAAAGTGTAAAATAAAACGAATAAAAGAAGGCAAACTACACACTAGCGTTTATAGAAAACCAACTCATTCTGCTAATAGATATTTAGACTTTAATTCATCTCATCCGTAGTTATCTGTTGAGGCAGGCTTAGTTAAGTGTCTAACAAACCAAGCAGTAGCACTGAGTAGGACACGAAAAGACCTAAATGATGAAATAAAACAGATGGAAGAAGCATTGGTGTGAAATAGCTAACTATCCTATAAAATTCATTAGGAAGATGAGAAAAGGTTGAAAGCAAAATATAAATAATGGTGAAACTAATGATGATAACATAAAAAAGACAGAATATAAGACATCTACTGTTATACCATATAGGGAGGGGACATCTGAGACCCTACGTAGGATTCTTAATAAAGCAGGAATTAGGGTGGTATTCAAACCTACAAACTCGCTCACTCAGGTAGGACAAGCTCTGTAGGTAGGTTGAAGGACCCTATGCGTTGACACAATTAGACAAAACAATATCATTTGCAAAATACCTTCCAACGACTGTGAGTTAGGTCAACTACCTACATGAGTGAGTCAGACCAGTATATCGGGGGTAGTCAGATCGCCTGTGAGAACATAAAAATTTAGCTGAGGTTAGAATGATTGATCTCACAAAGATAAGTATTTTAGAAAAACCAACTCAACACTGCATTGCACTGCATACATTAACACACAACCACGCAATACGGTGGGTGGAACAGAGTCAAAACTCTAAGAATTAATATAGGTAAATGAAGATGGAGGTAGGTTGATAACTGAATCCTTGTTCATCGAATAATCTACACCCAACATATGCAATAGAAGTGATTCATCATTGCTAATACCAGAGATATGAAAGATATTATTACCACCAGTCAGTCATTCAAATCAGAGGAGGATAATAAATAGTGTTAAATTGTATTCAATTCACATTATGATATTCTAACAAGTTAATTATTTTTACAAAAACTTTTACTTACAAAAATCATTAATATTATTTCTGAATGTACTTTATCTGGTTTTATTCAAATGTCTAGTCATGAATTTTTACTCGTGTATATAAATGAAGCAAAAAGTTGTGTTAGTAGTGCCTTGATATGATTATGAGTGACAATGATAATTTGTGCTCAGAACGTCATCAGTTAATATCACTGTATAAGAAACACACTGTGTGTGATTTATCAAAACTAAAATTTTATCCATAATGGAGTTATACTCTACCACCAGAGTGCCCAAGTTTTATACTTAAATGAAGGAATAAAAGTGGTTGGCATTCAAACCACTCACAAACTCACTTAGAAACTAGCTTTATCAGGTTGAGGATCCTGCCTATGGAGCCAATTAAACACACAGCAATTCAGTTTATGCATAGGTGAAAGTAGTAGAACGGGGTGAGTCAGTCAGTGAGACTAGTGGAGGAGTAAAAAATACCTGGCAAGATGTAGAATGGATGACCCTGTTAAGATAACGAATGTGGAGAATGTGTTTAGCTATACCACTCACTGCACGGAATTACACACAAGTATACAATGTAGGATGATGGGATAAGATGACAGTTCTAAACTCTAATGTAATAGGGTTTGATAAAGGGAGAGATTGGTAACTGGCTGAGGGTTTATTTATCGAATCAACTGATGGAGAGAATACGTGTAAAAGGAATCTGGAAAATTCTACTACTTCCTCCTCCTCCGCCCGATGTCGAGTAGGAAGGAATAAAAGTAACTATAAACGAGAAGTTTCGAATTTGTTGTTGTAGTAATAGCTGATGACATGATTTTGAACAAAAAATAAATGATTTATGTATGACCAAACCAAGTTCACTTTTAACAGTTTGAAAAAATTTGGGCTTTGGGTGGTATATGGTATTCATTATCATAAAGGTTTGCTTGTATTTCCCAGTGAATGAATGAATGAAAAGCAAAACGATATTATCGTTGCTCTTACTGACGTTTCGCTATTTGACCTGGTTGCAACACCCCCTCCCCCATGAAGTGACAAAATCAACATGAATGTGATATGCAAGTTCACTATGTAAACACACACTGCCTTTATAATTTTGAACACTGATCAAATCCAACAATCTACACTTGTAAAATTATATTTGTAAAATCTCAGCGAAATTGAAATGATTAATTCCAACGTTTCGTTCGGCAATCTGGTCCGAACTTCTTCAGGGAAATTAATCGAATTAACATAACAGAGGTTTATATATAAAAGGAACAACTCATGTTTTTAAATTTTGTCCAATCATGAGTCATGCAACAGTCATCAACATGTATAATAAATAAATAAATAAATAAATAAAATAGTATGTTTATAAATAAAAGTACATCTCTTGTTTTTAAATTGTTTGTCCTATCATGTGAATCAAGAAACAGCTATCAAAAGGTATAATAAACAAAACAAAACAAAATTTTTATATGAACTGTGATCAAAATTTGACCTCACACTTTCAAAATTAGTCTACTTTTGTTAAAATATATGTGTACATGCAGTATCAATGGTGTGTGTGTGTATGTGTGTGGGTGAACTGTCATAAAACATTTGTTGTTCTCATAGGAGCTGTGATCAAGATTTGACCGGATAGTTACAAAATAATTGAGAAGTTCGGACCAGATTGCCGAACGAAACGTTGGAATTAATCATTTCAATTTTATGATTGTCTACTTCTCACTCAGCGCTCAATTATTTTGCAACTATCCGGTCAAATCTTGATCACAGTTCATATGAATCTACACTTGGTTTTTTTATCTTTACCAATTGACCAACCTGACAACGAAAAGTGACCCCATACTGATGGACGATGATCAAGTTAGTAAACTTTGTTTTGATATCATAACAGATGTACTATTACCTTTGTTATTTGGCCTAGTGATCTTCATTGTTATTTTGACTTTCAATATGTCCTCCTTTTAACTTGACCTAAGTAGCCTATTTTCTCACCCACCTCTTAACTCTTTGTTATTATTTTATTTTATTTATTTTGATTACAGCTTGGTTCCACACTGTATTTTCAGTACAAGTATGGAATTTTCAGCATGGATATCGGTAGCCCAAATTTACAGGCCGACCATAGATATCGGGTGTGCGCCGGCAGGGGATCGAACCCCGGACCATGTGCATGGTCAGCGAGAGTCCTAACCACTGTGCTGAGTGGATTTCGTAAATTCCGGTTTAATAATACTTTGATAGAGCTATTAGCAGCATTAAATAGCGAATCGTCGTCACTAGAAACAACAATATCGTTTTACGAGTTGATCACGGACTGATATCAGTTAGAGAACCATCGAAAACCAAGGAGTACTGGACAGCTGCTGTTTCATCCTAGTTTGGGAATCATCGGCAGTACGCACCCACTGGGATTCGAACCCAGGACCTTCCGGTTACAAGGCAAGCTCGTATACCATTCAGCCACTGGGACCCGATTCAATGGCTCATGAATTCTAACTTCTACCAATTCGTGATTTTAGCGCGACCCCAACTATTGTCGTTGGTGGAAATCCATCCACACACGTGACTTCTAATTGGACCTCACTGGTCACGACTTCTCACTAGAACTGCAGGAAGCTCCAACCTGTAGCAAGTCACTAGCGAGCATCAGAATAATTATCTATAGTTTGGTTTGTAAGGATTAGTTAGAATTCATGAGCCATTGAATCGGGTCCCAGTGGCTGAATGGTATACGAGCTTGCCTTGTAACCGGAAGGTCCTGGGTTCGAATCCCAGTGGGTGCGTACTGCCGATGATTCCCAAACTAGGATGAAACAGCAGCTGTCCAGTACTCCTTGGTTTTCGATGGTTCTCTAACTGATATCAGTCCGTGATCAACTCGTAAAACATAACTAATCCTTACAAACCAAACTATAGATAATATCGTTTTGTTTTTCATTCACTGGGAAATCCAAAAACCTTTATTATAATGAATAAATAAATGAATTGTATTGGAAACTTCGTCACGCAGTAATTAATAATGATGTTTCTCCGTGTCTAGTTACCTACCTTTTTATCTATTCAAGTCATATCATTGCACTCATATGATGAATCTGCTTACTTCATGTAGAATTACCTCAATATTGAGGCATCATTTACAAAAAAAAAACCACAACTTATTTTGAGGGATTTTTCAATCTGTCAATCAACCGGTTATAATTCTTTTCAATTCATAACATTCATCTAAATTATAGGTTTGCATCGAAT